GGGAATTTGATTGGAATTGCATTGAATCCATAAATCATTACGGGGAGAAGTGGTGTCTTAATAATACCTCATTTTTTGATTAATGAACGGCTTCTATCTCAACTTATTAAGGTCTTTAATTTTTCTCAGTACTACTTTATAGCTGTCAGTATAGAAGTCTTATATCATTTACCAGACTTATTCCAAATAGTATGTATTTTTGATGCTACTGTAAATGACATAAAATAAGAAATGAAAATGAGAATACCAGAAGGGTATTCACTTGTGTTTCATTGACTATGCAAAGGCCCTTGACTCTGTGGGTAGTAATAAATCGTAGATAACATTGAGAAGAATGAGAATTTCAGAACACTTAATGGTGCTCATGCAAAACACAGATAAGGAAAAAAAAAAAGAAAAAAAAAACACAACCAGAGAAGACGCACTTGTTAAAAAAACCAAACAGACAGACAAACAAAAAGAAGCACTTGTTCAGAAATAACAAGGAGGCTCTGTGTGGTTTCTGTCTGGAAAGGTGTGTGTCAAGGTTTTATATTCTCCATACCTGTTCCTCCCGTCCAGACTGTCTTTTTAGTCCCTGTGTCTTTTTAGGTAAGTTGGAGCAGGTGTGTACAGTTTGGCTTTAGTGCGAGATAAGGCTGGTAGTGCTGGAGAAGAGTATTGAATGTACCATGGGCTGCCAAGAAAATGAACAGATTCATCCTGGAGAGGGTTAAACCAGGCTACTCCTTGGAGGCAAGAATTCTGGGGCTTCATCTTACATACTTTGGACATGTGAGGAGAGACAGGTCCTTGGAGAGGGACGTCATGCTTGGGAGGGTGGAGGGACAGCGCAGGAGGGGAAGACCCTCTATGAGGTGGATTGATTCAGTGACTGGGGTAATCGGGATGGTGTGTCAGAGGCAATGCGATTGGCACAGGACAGAACAGAGTTTAGGGCTGTTGTACATCGGGTTGCTATGAGTCGCAAATGACTCAACGGCACATAACAAAAACAACAAGGCTGGTAGCTTCGTTAGTGATTTCCAAGCTGCACACACAGCTTGTGGAAATGATAGTGGTGGGGCAAAGCGTCTGAGAAGCTGGGCGATGTGAAGAAGAAGGTGGCATCTGGACTGGAGCAGGTCTCACCAACAACCTGTGTGATGCTGATGACACAGCCTTGTAGCAGGTGAAGAAAACTTGAAGCATTTACTGCAGAAGATAAAAGATTATAGCCTTCAGTGTGACTTACACCTGAACATTAACAGAAATCCCTCAGCCCGGCCCAGCTGACCCACTATGACGTTGCTGTTGTTAGGCCCTGTCGAGTGGAGCACAACCCAGGGCAGATTTAGGGACCCCAGACCTCAGTCTTGCCCTGTCGCGCTCCGTCCTCACGTTTCCCAAAGTGCTCTGGCCATTGTCCTAGTCACTGTGTCAGTTCATCTCCGTGAGGTTCGTCCTCTTTTCTGCCGACCCAGCATGATGTCTTTTTCTAAGGGCTGGTGCCTCCTAAGAATATTCTCAAAGTCTGTGAGCTGAAGTGTCAACTTGCCTCTCGGGAGCACCCTGGATGCACTTCCTCCAAGATGGGCTTGTTTGCTTGGCAGTCCAAGGATGTTCAGTGCTGTCGGGTGTAGGGGCCATCGTGGCTCAGTGCACTATGTGCTGGGCTGCTGACGGAAACCACAGCAGCTCAAATCCAGCAGCTATAATGGTAGATGGAGGAAAGATTTTTATGTCATATTTCTTGGATCCATAATTCCACCCATGTTACAAGCAGTCAAGAAAAGAAAAGATAATAAAAGGAAATGAAAAGATGAGTTGCATTAGGCAACTCTGCTGTCAAGGATCTGTCCCAAAGGCCAAAGAGCAAGGGTGTCAGCATAAAGACTAAGATGCACCTGACCCAAGCCATGGTATTTTCAGTTGCTTCATGTTTATGTGAAAGTTGGACAGTGAATAAGAAAGACCGAAGAATTGATACCTGTGAATTGTGATGTTGGCGACGAGTGTTGAACACAGAATGTCTGTAAGCCCCTGAGTCTTTTTTAGGTAATTTGGAACAGGTGCATACAGTTTGGCTTTCGTGCGAGACAAGGTTGGTAGCCTTGTTAGTGATTTCCAAGCTGCATACACAGCATGGGAAAGTGATAGCCGTGGGGTTTTGTTGTGCGTCAGTTCAGTTTGTTCGAAGTGAGGGCAGACTTGCAGACTTGCGTTACATTGAAGACCAGCGTGAGCTGTGCTTGGGTTGCTGGAGTCAGACGTTTGTGCTGAGGTGATGTGGGGTTCGCCTGCCTTTCGTCTAACTTTTGAGCTTGTGGTGGATGGTAGGAAGCTAGGAAAAGCCCTCTGCAGGGTAAACCTGAGGACAGCCAAGTGCCATTCACTGCTTTTAGAAATGCTAATCACCCTGGCTTGTAGCAACCTCTGTGTGTGAGGGTTTCTTTTTTTATTGTAACCTTAAACTTTTATCAAAAATCTTGGAATACAGTATTAAAAGAGACAAAGATTTTACTTTAAAACGTGAGTTACATTGAAAGAATGCAAAGGTCTCAGATTGTGAGCTTTGAAATGTTGTTCTGTGCTGTCCAGTCGGCTATGACTCATCCTGACCTTACGTATAATAGCTGACCCCTGTTCTTTTGTTATTGTTATTCTCTTCTGTAGCATGGCACCAACCTATAGCTGACCCTCCAGCATGTTTTCAGAAGTAGTTAATCGCAGAGGAGATTGCCCATCCTTCTCCCACAGAGCAGCTGGTGGCCTCAAACTATGTGCCTTTAGGATTGCAGTGCAAGAGCTCCTCTGTCCTTGGTCAATGTCTTAATGTCTCTGACACATCTGCCCCCATTACCTCAGTTACTGTGTCAGTGCACCTCATCCAGGGTCTTCCTGGCAACACGCCCAAGTGTGTGAAATGAAGCTTCAAAATCCTTGCCTCCCAGGAACAGCTTGGTTACACCCTCTTCGGGACAGACCTGTTTGTTCTCTTGGCAGAATGTTCAGTACTCTTCTCCAGCGCCATGACTTGAAGGCATCAATTCTTCTTCTGTCCTCTTTGGTCATTGTCCAGTTCTCTGATGCATGACAGGTAATAGCAAAAACCATGGCCTGGATCAGGCAGACCTTATCATTTCTCTTTAGCACTCTGAAGAGGTCCCTGACAGCAGATTTTCCTAATGCAATTCATCTTTTGATGTCCTGACTGCTGGTGTTATGTGGAACCAAGCAAGCTGAAATTGTTAACAGTCTCAATCTCTTCTCATCTGTCATGGTGCTGCCAATTGGCCCAGTGGTGAGAATCTTCATTTCCTTGATATTGAGCTGCGATCCTTGACCTTCTGCAGCAAATGCTTCAGGTCCTTATCAGTTTCAGCAAGCAGGGTATGTCATCTGCATAATGCAGATTGTTGATGAGTCTTCCTCCTATCCTGATGCCACATTCCTGCTCATAAAATCAGCCTTCCAAATGATCTGTTCTGCATATAGATTGAGAAAGTGTGGAGATATGAGGCATCCCTGACATACTCCTCTCCTGATTTTTAACCATGCAGTGTTTTCTTTGCCCTGTTCTGTCACTGCCTCCTGGTCCAAGTATGGGTTGTTCTGGGATCCCCATTCTTCTCAAAGTTAGCCACGATTTGTTGTGATCCACACAGTCAAATGTCCAGTCAATGAAATTCAGACATTCCTCTTGTACTCTCTGCTTTCAGCCAAGGTCAGTCTGCATTTGTGATGCTATCCCTAGTGTCATGACCACTTCTAAACCCAGCTTGTATTTCTAGTAGTATGATGTCAGTGTCCTGTTCCTGTTGGTTTTAGATGATCTTCAGGTGGCGTACTGGTAAGAGGCAGTGCTGCAATCCTGAAGGCACAGAGTTCAAATCACCAGCTGTGGGAGAAAGATAGGCAGTCTCCTTCCGTGTGATTAACTGCCTCTGAAAACCCACTGGAGGGTCAGTTATGGGTCAGTTCTGATTGAATGGTAGGTACTTGAGATGTTAGCAAGTTAAAGAAATTAAAATGGTGTTTTTCATTTGCTTTAAGAACCAAGTACAATAAATTTTACTAAGTACAATAAGTTTATTTGCAACATTGAGGGAAAACAGTTAGTGAAACAGTTCTGATCGATGGGAGACCTGGGAAGTAGAGAATAGTTTTAAACCTCTGTAGATTAGAAGACAGGAGGGGGATTAGCATTCTAAGTATTTCCAGTATGTCTTACTTTCTGATGTTTCCCTCAAAATGGTGTGTGTGTGTGTGACGCCTCTGCCTGTGTCCCCAGCGGGATCCGGGTGTGCTCTTCAGCTGGTGCAGACAGCGCCCTCTTATCACCTTCCTCTCCTGGTCTTCGGTTAATGACATTATCTCTTATTTATCCCGCATATGAGTAATTTTTCTTTTCTCTCTCTCTCCTTACTCAGTTTGGGTAGAATTTATCAGTTGCACTAACTTGTTTTTAGAGAACTAGGCTTTTGACTCTGTTCCCCCTGGCCCCCCTGGCCCCCCTGCCTCCCACTGGCACTGGCTTGTGTTGAGACGTGTTTCCTTCCTGCCTCTGAACAGAGCTGGAGGGAGGTCCCTGCACTGGGGCCACTGCCATCGCAAGTGCGCTTTGCATTTTAAAGGTTTTTTCTAGTTTAGTTTGATGCTTTTTAAAAAGTGGATTATCGTTCAGATCCTCCTGCTGGTGCATCTCAGTCCTTTGCCGCCAAGCCTGGGTGCAGATGCTGCCTCCGTTTTTCCCCATCTCTTTGTACGACCAGGGTACCTGCTACACCAAACCTTCAACTCTACCATATCCGTGTTTTTCTTGATCTTGACAGACTTGGCGTCCTTCCGCCTGGCCATGAGCAGAAAGTCTTTGATTTCCTCAGTGTCAGGAAGCCTGGCGACGAGGGGTAGAGGGCTGCAGCACGTGCTGGCATTGCTAGCAGCTAAAAGCCAGGAGCCACTTGGATATTTGAACTAGACTCCAGCTCTGAAATAACACACGTCTTTGTCTTTTTCAGGAGGATTTGCGTTTGTGTACGAAGCCCAGGACCTTGGAAGTGGCAAAGCGTATGCGCTGAAGGTAACAGGAGTGACAGGGAGCTTCGCCGTGGGTCTGTTTGCCTCTGAGGAATCTCTAGATCCGTTTGCAGGGGCGCGTTCTGACTCATGGCTGTGTATTTGACGGTCAGGCCTGTTGTCTCTCACGGGAAGGTGGGTTTGGACACAGCCCAGGCCTCCCTGGGACTTGTTAGTGTCGTTAGCCCACCTGAGCCCTGCTCTGGGCATGGGGGGGGGGGTTGGCAGAGAAGCGGCCCATTTTGGGGAGCAGCCTCCTGCCACTGGGGTGCCACTGCCTCCTGGCTTTCTGGAAATTTCTGTGTGTCAGAAAAAAAAAAAAGGATCCCCTAATCCCTGGAATTCCAGTGAGTGCTGCTGTGTGAAATGGAAGTGCCATGGGCCATCTGTAAATGGGATCATGTGGGGTGTGAGGCCACCTGGGTGCTGACGTGGCAGGAGGGGCCCGGCTCCTGGAGCGAGGAGGCCGCAGACCTGCTGGGCAGGGTGCCCGCTTCGGCCTTGCAGGGGTGGGGCTGACCTGGGCGGCGGGCTGGGCCGAGCTGCCCTTTGTGCTCTTGTTTTGGGGATGGGATTGAGCCCCTGTCCCTCCTGGTGAGCCCTGGGGACCCTGGTCTGTCCTGTCTGTCGAGGCCTCTGGGGGAGAAGGCTGCTCTCAGAGTATTCTGTGTCGGTGGGTCCCCAGGGTCCCTGTGAGTCAGGCTTGGCAGCGTGCGTGCGTGTGTGTGTGTGTGTGTGTTTGTTTGCACTTTTGAAGCTTCCCTGGCACTCTCACCAGCTCTGATGTTAGCACTGGGATCACTGGGTGCTTTTCACGCTGTCGGAGGTGCCCAGCTTGGGCCCCGACGC